AATAACTCATGGAAGGTGGCCCTGAGGAATGTGTAGAATTTTCATTCTTTCAGTAGTCTAGGTCTTAGGGAATTTGAGAGAAGAGGTAAGGGACATTCCAGGTAGAAAGGAAAAAAGCATTTCTGTATCAGTGAACATTTTGTATGTGCCCGAAAGAACTGTATGCTCAATCTCTCATTCAAAATTAAAGGTACCTCTCACACAGATTACCATCGACTATCTTTTTTATGCCTTCATAGCACCCCGTATTTATTTCTGTTACAATACCTGAAATGCTGTATTGTACTTTTTAAATCTTTTGGCTCTCCCCTTGTAAATTCTTTGAGGATAGTTACTGTGTCTGTTTTACCTGTGTATCCCCAGCGCCTTACTCAGTTCCTGGAATACTGTTGACTTACCTGAAATGTTTACCAATGAATATCTGTATTGTTGAGTATTATCCCTTTTGCAGACTGTATACTTGCTCATTATTGATGTTGCTGTTGAAACATTTGGGGCTCCTTGTTGGGATAATTGTCTAGACAGGACATCACATTGGTTTGATCTTTAGCTTAGTAGGTCCAAAAACTGTTTCATTGGGGTACTCAGATTTTGCCTGACTCAGTGACGTGACTGAGGCTCTGTCTCAAAGTGGGCGAATTCTGGGCTTGGGGAGCCAGAGAGATCTCACTTAGATCCTGACTCTGGCATCTACTTATTTTCTCATCTGAAAAATAGAATGATAACAAATAGAGTTAATGTGACAGTCAAAAGAGATAATGTATGTAAGTTGTGAACCACTGATACTGCAGCAAGTACAAACAGTAGCTGTTATTAGATGCTGTTGTTAGGACAATAAAACCTAGCAGATGCTGATTTACAAACCAAATGCCGAATGTATTAATTTACAACACTAGTGCAACTGCCAAATAGACCAGAATTGTTGTGTCCACTGTATATTCTTTTCCAGTTAGGAAATTTGGGCTCAGAGAGGTTGCTTAGAGAATCAAGAGAAACAGTTGAATTGTCTTAATAGCTACCATCAACCGAGCTCTGTTTGCCTGATGTGTTAATCTTCCCTGAAAGGAGCAAACTGTCATGTCAAGCAGAACTTATTTGGGTTCCCTTTACCCTGACTTAACCTACCCTTTGCCCTACTGAAACTCCAGATTGGTTATACCTAGCTTCTTTCAACTCATTCCTCAAATCTGGACATTTTTCATTTTAAATTATATAACAGTCAGGTTTATGCCAAAATTTTAGGGTACTTTCTGCTTAGGTTTGGAATATATCCCATCAAGTGACTTCTATAAATTGTTAATTTCCATTATTTGTAAAGTTTCAAGTTCTGGGAGTTACTTTCACTCCCTCTGTATTCAGTATATCCTGCTTTTGGCTTTGTAAAACATTGTTTTGAAAGTTCTTAGTGATGTTTTTCATTCTTTGAAAATGAATTTGACTTTTTAATAATAGGGGAAAGTCAGATGCAAATTGTCAAAGTCAGCCAGTTTGGTAAGACGAGTAATACTACCTTTTTCTGAGAGTCATGTCAATAAAATTCTAATGCTTTTTTGAATACTGTCTCACAAGGGATTCTCAAGAGATGAGGATTCTAAAATATCTTGAGCCATGTCAGTAAGAGTGAAAAATTGGAGTAACTTCTCAAGTTAATCTTTCTGATAAGGATGTTAGTCATTTGTATGCTTGCTTTTTAAAACGCTTTATAGTCATTTCCTATGCTCCATCTTGTCCGTGGACATTTCTCTGTTTTCTCCTTCACCTTGGACTCTGAGCCTTCTAACTCAGTGGTTCTCATACTTTTTAGCTTTAGGGACTGCATTACACATTTTAAAATTATTGAGGATTTCAGAGAGTTGTGGTTTTTGTTTGTTTTTTGTTGGTTGTGGGTTTTTTTTTTTTTGAGGTGTAATAGACATAACATTATGTTAGTTTCAGGTGTAGAACATAATGATTCATTATTTGTATATATTGCAAAATGATCATCACAGTTGGTCCTGTTAACATCCATCAGCAAAAGAGCTTTTGTTTATGTGGGTTATATCTGTCAATGAAACTGAGAAATTTAAAATACTTACATTTGTGTACCAATGACCCAACTGAATATACCCAATAATAAACCCATTGAATATTATCAGAAATATTTTTATGAAGAATAGCTATATTTTTCTAAAGAAAAAATGTAGTGAGGAGTGACATTATTTTACATATTTGTAAGTCTCTTTAATGTTTAGCTGAAGAGAAGTTAACTGGGTTTGCATCTCTTTTCTGTATCCAGCCTGTTACTATATGTGGTTCTGGTTAAAGTTGATGAAGACTACCTGCCTCCCACAGTTACATGGTTAGAAAAGGGAGGAGTATTTTAAGAATCTTTTCAGATAACTGTGGATATTCTTCCTTGATGCTACACCAAAACTTGACAATTTCCTAGAAGTTAGTCATTTTCCTAGAAGTTAATTGCAACATAGGATATGAAATTTATCAATGAACTTCTCTGACATTACAACCTACTGATCTGTTTTAAACTTGGAGTGACTCTTAACCCGAAGTGATTTGACATCGTACATAGGTCACCTGGAAATATTGGTTCACTGTGTTATACTGATCTTCCAGGTATTGACACATTTTGTTAAATAATTATCCCCTCAAAGTCACATCTGTTAAAGTCACCAGTGATTTCACCAATACCTGAAGTATTGGGAACCTGACAAGCTCACAGTAGTGGATAAAAGTTTCCCAAAATTCAGATTTTATCATTGGCAACAGATGCTGTCAGTTCTTTTCCCTTAAAGTGACAGGCTCGCTTTCTTTGTTTGCAATAAAATGTCTGCCAGATACCAAAGTCTGTACAGTCGTGACTTGTCTGTCGGTCGTTCTTTAAATTAAAGGTATTCGATGAAAAAGTATCCAGCTCAGATAATCACACAATTGCTTTTCCTAGAGAAAAACCATTGTATTTCAATTCAGAGCAAAAGTGCTTTATCTATATGTGAAGTTAGGATAAGTCCCCAAGACTGCCTTCACTTTGGACCAATTGCAGAGTTCCAGGTCCTCAAGACCTCGCTCATTCTGACCTCAGTTGCCAGCTCACCTGAACTCCGGTGTCCAGGGTCTTCGTGAGGCTGTCATGCAGGCATAGCCGCCCGAACAACCAGCCTCCGGCTCCAGCCCAGGGATACCAGAGGCTGAGCCGACCTGGGGCCCTCACCTCCACTCACACTGTTAGACTGTCTGGTGTGGCTCAGGGTCCCCAGGTAAACAATGACACTTTTATCAGCAGGATATTCCAAGAGGCCTAGAGATTATCTCCCAGAAGCCCAGGGCAAAGGCCAGGCCTCTCTGGTCAAGGTTAAATTCTTTCCTACTAACATGCTTCCCATGTCATTACAAGGAATATTTTCAAAAGTACTCAAAGGTCATGATTTAATAGAACTAACACTTTTTACTGCCTCATCAAAAACCATTCTTACATAAAAATAGTTTTGCTTGTTTGGGTTTTTTTTCCTGCGAGTGGTGAAGAATACCGTGCATACTGATGCAGTTTGGTGCCACTGCTGTGAGTGTGCTGGTGCCAACAGTTCTACCCACCTTCGCTGTTGCACCATCAGCGCATTGTCAGCTTAGTGAAAAAGATGATGTCTTAGTATTTATGAGAACAACTGACACCACAGGTGCATGCTTGGAGCCTCGGCTGTGATTCAGAGCACTCTCCTCCTTGTGTAGTTAGCAGTCTCAGCTTGTGGAGTAAAACCTCATCTCCTAGAGGACCTACCTGCAGGTTCTTTGAGGGCAGCTTAATGCACAGAACCTTTTCATCACCGCAGGAATTCTTTCCGAAGCTCTTGCTTCTGTTTTAAAAGAAGAACTATAAAGGATAAGTGCTTTTCTTCCCTTTGCGATGTGCTTTTGTTGTTCTGTAGAAGGGTTGTCTAGTCTGTGTTGCTCCTTAGAACCTCGAGAATCAATTTTGATTACGTTTCCATTGTCAGCCTCAGAATTCTGCTTGCTGTGGTCCTGACTCTGTCTTGGTGCGGGCACTCCTCCTCCAGGTTAGCGCGACAGACTCCAGCCTTTTCTCCACGTCTGCCTTTCCTCTCACACCCACCCCCTAGTGGCCACCAGGATGATCTGTTTGAAATGCAAATAACACCTCATACTTACATAGTGCTTGCTTTGTGCCAGGCACTCTTGAAACACTACTAATGAGAAACCTCAGGCCTAGAGAAGTGACCCAGCAGGTCTGGTTCTTGAGTCCCAGCTCTCTACTCTTCAGCTGTTGTAGCTTGCTTCTTAAAACCCCTTGCTCTTACCTGCAAGCCAAAGAGCAAACTACTAAACATGGCATCCAAGACCTTTCGCGACCTCACTTCTGTTCTTTTATGACTTCATTGTCTCCTGCCTGTTTCATGCCACCAGCTCTAGCAGTTCAAACTTTCTTCCAGCTGACCTGCACGCACTGCTGTTTATAACCTTTGCACCTCGGCTGACGTGGTCCCATCTGCCAGTTATGCCTGGCTCTGCCCTGTTCACCTCACGAATTCAAGCTGGAGCTTCTCAGGGACATTTTTCTCCACCTTTCTCCATTGTCTCCTCCCTTTACCTTCCCTAGATGAGGGCTGACAGATAGTGGGCAGACAGAAGAAAAGCTGGTAACTGTGTAACAAGTGTGGTAAGTGGAGTGAGAAAGAGAATTATAAGGAGTAAGGAAGATAGACCCCTTGCAGTTAGCAGTGTGGGCCTGTATCCAGACTACACATCAGCTCCTTTGAGGGCAGCGACTCTACCACCAGTGTTTGGTACATAAACAAAAAATAAATTATTTTCTGAATAAATGAACACAATTTTCTCTCCTAAATTGTATTTCCTATTTTGTAGTTTCCTCCAGATCCTCAACATTATGAAAAGTCTTATAGACTTTTGGAAAAATTGTCCATGTCAATTTCTAGGATTTTGTATTTTTAGATGATGAGTTTTCTTCTCTTTTTTTTTCTCTTTTACAAGCTCCTTGCCCGACTGGAAGGCAGAAGTTCCTTGAAAGACATAGAACCATATCTGTTTGCTGATGAAGATTCACCTGTGCATGGTAAAAACACAGTCTCCAGCCAAAATATAAATTAAGTTTTATAAGACAAGTTTTTTCTGACATATATTCATATATATACACATATTCTTGGCAAGAGCCTAGATGGCTTAAACTGTGAAGTTAAAACCTGAGAAAGAGATTGCGGTGGGACACTTCCAAGCCTTCGCTGGCGGTGTCAGATGAGATGAAGTTTGGTTTATCTGCAGTAAATCTTCAGCTACAAACAACCTCCTTAGTCCCAGCACAGTTTTGGGGAGTTTTGTTATTACTGAGTTTTTATTCTTTAGAAGTTTGAGAATCACAGGGAAGTCCTTAGGTACCTGGCTTTTCTGTTAATATTTTCATGGCAGGGAAACTATATACCCACTGGTTCTATCAGCACTTCTACACTAGGGGAAACTTATAACGAAGTAGTGTGCTTAGGTCGTTCTTTCTCTTTTAATGCAGCAGCTTTAAAGAAGAGAATTCACCCATCTAAGTGTACAGTTCACACACACGTGCAGCTGTCACCACAGTCAACTGTAGAACATTTTCTTCACCCCAGAAAGAAGCCCTGCCTGATAGTGTCGCTCCTCACTCCCTCCCACACCCCTTAACTCTGGGCAACCGCTCGTCTTCTTTCTGCCTGTCCGGGTTTGCCTTTTCTGGACATTGCACATAATCGGAATCATAGGGCATGCGGTCTCTTACAACTGATTTCCTTCACTTTGCTTGATTCACCACATTGTAGCACGCATCAGTAGTTCATTCTGTTTTATTGGGTAATACTCTCTTGTGTAGATACACCACATTTTATTTATCCATTCATCAGTTGATGGACATTTGGGTTGTTTCTGCTTTTTGGTTGTAATGAAGAATGCTGTGGTTATTTTGTGTACGAGTGTTTCTGTGGAGATGCATTTTCAGTTGTCTTGGGTAATACCAATGAGAGGGACTGCCAAGCTGTATGGGGACTCTGTGTTCAACCTTTGGTGAAATTGCCAGACTATTTTCCAAGGCAGCTGCTTTGGAAATTGCCACATTTTCCTTGTCACCATCAGCAAAGTGTACGAGTGTTCCAGTTTCCCCACATCCTGCAAACATGTCATTGTCTGTCTTTTTGACGATAGCCTTCCTAGTGAGTATGAAGTGATGCCTCCCTGTGGTTTTGATTTACGTTTCCCTGATGGCTAATGGTGTTAAGCGTGGTGCATGTGCTTTTCGGCAGTTTGTATATGTACTTTGGAGAAATTCAGATCTTTTGCCCTTTTACAAAACTGGGTTTTCTTTTTACTGAGTTATGAATCCTTTATACATTCTAGATAGAAGTCCCTTATCAAGTACGTGATTTTTACATATTTTCTCCCATTCTGCATGTTGTCTTTTCACTATCTTGATGGCCTCCATTGAAGCACAAAGTTATTAATTTTGATGAAGTCCCTCAATTTATCTATGCTTTTCTTGATCATGCTTTTGATATCATAGCTGAGACGCCATTGCCTAATCCACAGTCAAGAAGATTTACAGCTGTTGTTGTTATTACAACTGATTTCTGTTTTTATTTTCTGATCAGAGAACATACTTATTTGATTTCAGTCTCTTTAAATTCATCGAGACTTGTTTTATGGCCAAACATATGATCTGTCCTGGAGAATGTTCCATGTGCACTTGAGAAGAATATGTGCTCTACTGTAGTTGGGTCAAGTGTTTTATTGATGTCTCTTGGTTCTAGTTGGTTTTCAGTGTTGTTCAGGTATTCTGTTTCCTTGCTGACCTTCTGTCCAGTTGTTCTATCCATTATTGCAAGTGGGGTATTGAGTCTCTGACTATTGGTAAATTGTCTATTTCTCCCTTTGGTTCAGTTTTTGTGGGCTTCATGTGTTGTTGGGCATATATACATTTATTATCACTATTATATCTTATTGATGGATTGACTTATGTTATAAAATTCATCTCACACCCATTAGAATGGCTACTATCAAAAAAAAAGTGTTGGTGAGGTGGTGGACAATTTAGTACCCTTGTGTTGATGGGATTGTAAAATGGTGCAGCCATTATGGAAAACAGTCTGGAGGTTCCTCAAAAAATAAATAATAGAGCTACCATGTGATCCACCAATTGTACTTCTGGGTGTATATCCAAGAGAATTGAAAGCAGGGGATTGAACAGATATTTGCACACCTATGTTCATAGCAGCACTATTCAAAACAGCTAAGAAACGGAAGCAACTCAGATGTTTGTTGACAGATGAATGGATAAACAAAAATCATATATACATACAATGGAATACTATTCAGCCTTAAAAAGGAAGGGTATTTTGACACATGCTACAACATGGATGAGCCTTGAGGACAAGCCAAGTGAAATAAGCCAGTCACAAAAAGAAAAATACTACTGGTCCCACTTACATGAAGCACCTAAAATAGTCAGATTCATAGAAACAGAAGGTAGAATGGTGATCACCACGGACTGGGGAGAAGGGAGAAAGGGAGAGTTGTTGTCTAATGGTTACAGGTTTTCAGTTTTGCGAGATGAAAAAGTTCTGTAGACTGCTTCACAACAATGTGAATGTACTTAACACTACTGAACTGCACAATTGAAAATGGCAAAGATGGTAAATTTTATGTTGCTTTTACCACAATAAAAAACACAATGTCCTTGTCTCTAATAACAATTTTTGTCTTAAAGTGTGTTTTGTCCGATGATAGTGCAGCCACTTCAGCTCTACTGGTTACCTTTTGCGCAGTATCTCTTTTTCTGCCTATTTACTGTCAACCTTGTGACTTGGGATGTCAAGTGTGCCCATTGTAGACAACCTGTAGTTGGATCATGTTTTTTATTCCATTTTGTCAGTTTTTGCCCTTTGTTTGGATTTTTTAATCCATTTATTATCACCAGTTAAAGTAGGATTTATGCCCACCATTTTGCTGTCTGTTTTATGTATGTCTTGTATCTTTTTTGTTTCTCTGTTCCTCCCTTACTGTCTTCTTTTGTGTTAAATAGGTATTTCTAGTGTTCCATTTTAATTCCTTGTCATTATTTTTACTTTTTGAGTTATTTACCTCGTGATTGCCCGGA